TTGGTAGATTAGACTTTTGTTGACTGAATGCTGAAGGGGGGCACCTTTGTTGAATCGATTTAAATTTTTTACCCCTTTTTCTCTTGAGTAGTGATTAGAACAGTATACTTTGCCACTTTTTTCAATGACAAGTAAAGAACAGTAATACACTGCTTCTCAAATGGAGACACAAGTTGCCTTCATGTTTTTGTTTTTGTTCTGTTTTGTCTTTTTAAGTCCTTGCTGTTTTGAAGGCTATCAGGAGAACTTCCAGTTATAAACCCTTTCACTCATGAGGGTAACCACAGGATTGGAAAAATTTGCCCTTCAGTGAAAATGAGCAGATATGATGGATTTAGATATCACTATTTGGGGACTTATATAGTTGATCAAGGTTGTTTCTAAATAGTTTATGTCAACCTTACTGATCAGTGACTGCCTCTCAGTTCCTATACAATTAATGAAACCTTGGAGACCTTATACCAGCTATAATCAACTCCCTGAAGATAAACCTAATTTTAGAGTTCAGATTGAATCTACCCTCTGCTCATCTGGGGATTGAAGATAATGATACTCTATTATGGCCTTTGAATACTAGGAAATTTTATATCTAATTTTGAGTTGCCTAGGCAACATGAGGTTAGTTAAGGACCAAGTTTCAATCTTGATTTTAAGAACTTAGTTCAGACACACTCCACACAAGTCCTACCCTGATGCCTCGTCATGGCATGGAGACCCCTTGTTCTTGAAAACAATGCCAGCAGAGCATGGCTGTGGCAGCTCTCATCCAGCCAGAAGCGTCTTGGATGAGTGTGACGGGTATTTTATTCAGTAAGAGAATCAGAAAGCATGATATCGTGAGCACCGAATGACGTCACCAAAATGAAATTGACCATATCCTGATGGACAGGAAAAGACTGGCTGCCTGTGGCTGGGTAGCACACAAATCAGAATCTGCTGTCACTGTTCAGTACAGTCGCTGGCTAGATAGAACCAAGACCAAAAACCAATATTGAATTAGCAAAAAGGATAAAGAAAAGATATCACTGGTCAGAATAACAGTGGCTCCCAACTGGGTTGTGTCAAACAAACTCAACTCTAAAAAACGGGAAACGGAGTGAAGTAAAATCTTTGATTCTATCTCCATTTCTTATAGAAGTTTCAATTCATTAAGCATTTATTAAGCCTACTGTGTGCCAGACATTATGCTCATGAGACCAGAAACTGCTTCAGGCAGCAAACCCTTGATCTTTGTGCCAAGGGGAGAGACACGTTAACCAAGGGTAGCATAACGTGCACCTTGAGAAACATGGAGGAGGAGGATGGATGATATCGAGTGGTATCACCTCACAAGACAGCTAGAAACGCGTAAGGGAAACAAACCCATGGAAAGCTTGGCATGGAGCTCCCCTCAGCCAGGACATCGCTAGAGTGCATGGAGGTGGAAATGGAAAGAGGTTATTCATCAGATGTTAATTTTCACAGTATCTTTTTGTCCTCAGCACTTAGCACAGAACCGCCTCACATAGTAGGAGCTTTAAAAAGTGTGCTGAATTGAACAGAATGTGCCAGAGCCAAGGCAAGTGGAACCATCCCATTTAGACCCTGTCAACTTTCTCCTCGATTGTAATATATCAGGAAAGGACTTTGGGACTTGATGAAATTGGGAATAGCAGCTGATTTCACCAAAAACATATAGAAGAAATTTGTGCTGCCAGTGACACAGTTTTAAAGACACTTTAGGGATGGATTTTTAAAGCTATCTCAAAGAGAGGAAGGTTCAAAAAGAATGAAAAACAACATAGATGGGATGGTACTTCCTTCACTCCCCTATTCACCCCCCCCCCCCAAAAAAAGGGACCCAAGGCCATCTGGAGGTGTTTGTATTCTCTCACCCTTGTGAGCTCGGCTACTTTCACCGAGTGTTAGCATCCACTGAAGCATAAAACAAAGGAAAACCTTGGCTTCCATAAAGTGTGTGCCAGGATGTTCTGTACAGAGTCCAGCTCAAAGGATTATGCTTCTAGTGAAGTTCTCCAAATACTTCTAATTGCAAATGACATTGTACTAATTGTACCAAGCCCTGGATTATTATAAAGCCCCTTTAGCGAAGTGCAGAGTTATTCAAGATCAATCAGCCAAACAATCCATACTGAATAAAACAAAAACAAAAACCCAAAGCAGATGAAAAATGCAAATCACCCAGATTACACCATGTCGTTGGATGGGAAGTGTTGAGTGAGCCCATGTCTCTGTGTGTGTGTGTCTCATACAGGCTCTGCAGGCAAGGCAGTGAGTGTGGCCAAGGAGGTTCTGATGGAACACATTTGGGAAACTGATCCTGAGAAGCTCATTTTGTTACAAATGGTGCAGTGGAAATGATTCTGGATTTGGAACGAGGAGGTTCTGGACTTGGATTCTGCCTCTGCTATTTCCTGTCTGTTGTAACCTTTGTTGATTTGCTGAATGTGTCTTGGCCTCAGTTTCCTCACCTACAGAATGAGGGATTTGGACTAGATAACCCCTAAGGTCCCTTCCAGCTCTGGATCGCTATGATCCTATGGTCCTGGCGATGCCTTGTGCCTGTGATTCTTGGAATGCCATCATCTAAGCTAGTTTACATTGTAGGAGACAACTAGGACTGTAGAAAAAAATGTTCCCTAGAGTAAGTAGACTGTGGCATATTTCCCCCCGCCCCGCCCCCCCAAAAGTGACTTGTATAATGATAGCAGAGAAGATCCCACTGCCTGGGAGAACTCACCAAAGTAGGGCGGGGCTCCATTCTGGTGGAATGAGAATGAGGGGTGACCAAGTGACTTAGGCACATCTCAACTGCAACATCTCCACCAAGTAAACTGCAGTGACTCTTCATTGCCTCTAAGGATAAAACAGAAACCACCCCGTTCAGCCTTTAAGTCCCTTCGCCACCTGGCCCCTGCCTGTTCTCGTCAAACGTTATTCCCCCTCCCACACTCTGCTGTGCCTCTGCCTCTGTCCTGGCTCGGCCCTTGCCTGGAACAAGCTCCCCGCTCACCCTCCGTGGCCCTGTCGGGGGGCTCCTTTCGAGGTGCACTTTGGCAGCCCTTCCTACTTTAAGTGTTTCCTCTTTCCTTCCAGTTACATGTGTCCCCTCCCTCCCCAGTTACCTGGTGTTTAACTATTTTGTATGTATTTTCTTTGTATTTATTTTCTTTATATTCATATATTGTTCATTGTCTTCCCTAGTAGAAAGTAAGCATGTTGCATAAAGGGATTGTTTGTATTTGTATCCAGTGCCTAGCACATAGTAGGTGCTTAATAATGCTTGTTGATTGATTGACAGCAGCATATGAACAACCTTGGACATTTTTTATTTTTTTATTTATTTTTTTTAATTTTTAGGCAATTGGGGTTAAGTGACTTGGCTAGGGTCACATAGCTAGTAAGTGTCAAGTGTTTGGTCTGAGGCCGGATTTGACCTCAGTTCCTCCTGGCTTCAGGGCCGATGCTCTATCCACTGCGCCACCTAGTTGCCCCTTAACCTTGGACATTTTTTCAGTGGCTATTCTGTTTGGGATAGGGTGATAAAGATGAAATGGTCCTTGCCTTCAGGGAGCTTATCTTTTTAGGTAGATTGTTAAAACCCACTGGGAAATCCAGATCCTTCTGTTTGACATTCAAAGCTCCCTGCAACCTGACTCCAGCCTCCATTTCCAGGTGTAATACACATTGCTTTCCTTCACTCAGCTCTCTGTTTGAGCCACATGTGTATGTGCATAATAGCCCATCTCCCATCTCTGGGCCTTTGCACAGGCTGTCTATTTCCTGTACCTGGAACACATTTCATCCTACACTCGATACATTGAACTGCATCACAATAGGAAAAAAATGATCCCATCAGCAAATTCTTAAAAGGGATTGTGTCGTCGCACTTCCAGGAACAATCCCTAGTCTCCAAAGATATCATTTCTTCAGAAATATGTAGGTAATTTTGCTCTACAGTAGATACTTGGTTCACCAGGAGGAATCGTCCATCTGTTTTAGACTTGCCTGATGCTAATTTCTGATCCTCCCTAGTGCGGCGTTGAAGATGGAGGCATTTTCGGGAGGCCAGGCTGCAGGCAGTCTCATTTTCCTCCTTCAATCCTTCCTCTTGCTCTCTCAGCATAATCTTCTTAGAGCATAGTCTGATCCCATCGTCTACCAAATAAACCTGTATTTAGGGCCAGTGGGTATCTGAATCGGGGGAGTCAGACTCTGGAATCTTACACTAAATAGAGAAGACATTGATTTGTTTCAGAATTCCTGGAGGCTTGTTAGCTGAGAAGTGACTTCTCATGTGGAGGGGAAGAGAGGTTTCTTTTCTTAGGCACTGTTAAAAAAAAAAAAAGGCACTTGGTATGCAAGATTATCTGCTGTGTTCCTTTGGGGGCACTTGTGTCCCTCTCTATAGCTCCCCCTTAGATTGTAAGTTCCTCAGGGTCAGAGACCATCTGTTTTCATCTTTAAATGCCCGGTCCCTAGCAGTGTGCCTTGGCCATAGGGGTTGGGCCTGGTCCTGTGACTTCAGTGTTATAGGAAATTCCCAGGTGAGGGAGTGCCCTCGCTCAGTGCCGTTGACAGCTTTTCTGCAATTTTCTTCAAGCACTAAGAAGATTAGTAATTTGCTCAAGGTCTTAGGTCTTTGAGGTCAGCTCTCTGTCCCCTGCTACACAGTCTTGTTCATAATAAATGTTTATTGAATTGAATACGTCTGGGAGAGCTTCTCCTTCTGATACAAACATCACTTAGGAAGATGGCCTGTTAGAAAATCGGGGACTAGCCATATTGCCTAATTTAATCAATCAGTAATAGTTAAACATTTTTCTGAATCAAAGAAAGCCTTTTTTCTTTCTTCTGTTATTGCTTCCACCACCTCTTCCTGGCAGTATCCAGCATCAGTTGGCAATCCGTCTCCCTTGTCCAGTCCAGTTAGGAAGTGACAAGAAGTCTTTGGTGTCCATCTACCCTGTTGGGTCAGCTTCCTTGTCTGCCTTTCTCAGGAGTTCCCGGTGTGAAAGCCAGTCGCTTGGAGGAAGGTCTGCAGGTGAAACATTGTGCCCTGTCACTTGTAGGAGAACCCATCATGTATCCAGAAATCAACCGCTTCCTGAAACTGCTTCACCAACATAGAATTTCCAGCTTCCTGGTCACCAATGCCCAGTTTCCCACGGAGATCAGGTGAGGGTTGTTTGGGATGGTGATTATTCAGGCCTCTTAGGCCTAGCCAGACTTGCCAATCAAATCTGTGTTTGACTGATGTCCAAACTCTAATTAAGCTACCTTAGTAACAAATGGGGTGTTTGTTCAATATGGAGTCAATGAGAGAATAACCATTGATCTCTTCTCTTTCTTTTTTTTATGACTTAAATATTTATTGATTTGTTTTTTTCATCACTGCCATTTTCAAGTTGACTTCCTATCCCTCCCTCTGGTAAGCCTTCCTTTTTAATGGGGAAAATAATTCAAATAAAGCCTATTGATAGAGTGATGTCCCTATCTGATGGCATTTGCAGCATTCTGAATCCATAGGCTCCTCCCCATCTATTCTTAATCTCTCCCCCCCCCCCCCAGGAAAGAAAGGAGCGAGGTGCCATTCTTCAGCTTTTTACTGGCGTCCAAATTGGCTATTATAATTATGACAGGATTTGCCTTCATTTTAATGTTCTTTTCATTTATATTATAGTCATTGTATATATGATTCATCTATATGTTATATATAATTTTTCTGGCTTCTGGACTAATTAATCTTTTTCTTTATCATTATTTTGACTTATTTGTCCTGTAATCTCCATTTACCTACTCATATTTGGTTGCTTCTCTCACCTTGCCCCAATTTCAGAGTGGCAGAGGACTAGGATTCCTCTAGAAATTGTGGTCGCCACTGCTGCCATCAGCTTAGCAGGGTCTGGCATACGCTGTCTTCCTGGTTCTGTTATGTCTAGGGTATGGAAATATTTTAACTTTAGGCCAAAAAAAACCCCCATATCTTATATACGACAAAATACCTTGTACTCTGGGAGAGTTAGAATCTTGTTACAATTGAATGAATGAATGAATGAATGAATGACTCATTTATTAAGTGCTTACTATGTACAGAGTACTGTCATAGAATAGCTATCCAATGAGAATCGGCATCCAACTTCACCCATCCTTTGCCGATTGTCATCTTTACCCGTAAAATGTCTTATCTATTTAAAAAAAAGAAAGAAATTCAACTTCCTCTCTAAGAAAAAGAATTCTTGATGGTTTTTTAACCGACCTTCACTCCTTTGTGTGGTTTGGTCACTTTATGCTTAGGCCAGCTCTGGTAATCTCTGTTTGACTGTCCATGTAACACAGCTGGCGTCATGTCACCCTAAAAGAGGCCGCTGCCCAATCTCTAGAAGCAGTGGCTTTTTGTAAATACACAGAATGACGACGTTTTGTACACATTTCGTGAAATCAGTCAATGCGTTTTGTACAACTGACTGAAAGAGCAGTTTGACTCCTTGAAACATGATTTGTTCTTTTAATATTTGGGGCACTGGTAGACAAATGATTTTTCTAAGCAGGAGCATGCTCTAACAGAACAGTGTGAGGCTGATTTTATATTTAATGAAAATTTTTTTTTTTTTGTTTGGGGGAGGTATGGACCTGTGATTTTATTGGTGTGGGGAACTCTTGGTTTAGACATCCTCTCCACTGATGCTGATAGGCAGCTAGTGATAAATTAGTTCATTGAATTTATGGCGTTAGACCCAAAGTTTCTGTTCTTTGGATTCTCAGGAAACTGGCTAGACATGGCCCAAATAAGGATGGAAAGACTTGCTTCAGCAGCATGCAGAAAACAGCCCAGGTTGTGGGTCTTAATGAGTATTTCTCTTAAAGTGAATGTCCCTGTTCATTGGCTCTTGCAATCCAGCTCCATGCTGGTGTTGTAAAATTCCGTAAGGCGGCCCTCCCAGTAGCCAGTGTAAAAGTTAATTAGCGTTCAGTGCCAGCATGAGCCCCTTCATGCAGTTGGTGATTCTGGTGCCTTTTTTGGGGTCGGATGTTTGTGGATGTGACTGAGAGAACTTTCTTGTGGTAACCAGCTCTGTGTCATGTGACATGTATAATTTTTATGTGTGTTTTTAAAAATATGCACATTTTTTTGGGAGGGGGGGAACGGGTCTCGTATGACGTAATTTTCGTAATTCTTTTAAAAGTTTCTTGGGGAACTCAGACTACTACCAGCAAGGCAGAGCTGTAAAAAGGGCACCAACTCTTCCCATTTGGAGGGCATTGTCCTCTAGGTTTGCAAGAGTGTGTTTAGAGAGATGACTTCCTGAGAGGTCTGACCTGTTCATTGGGCTAGGTGAAAGGGTTTAATGTTGGGTGCACTAATTGGCACCTCCACACGCCTCCAACGTGAAAGATAAAAGGCTTGGCCACATTATACTGAATAAGTGTGACCCAAAATGTGCTTTAGGACTTTGGCAAGCATAGCATAGGGAGAGGAGATTTTTGTAGCCTTTTAACACCTCTTGTGGGTTTTGGTTCAGAGTAATTTACTTTATCCCAGCTTTGATGAAGTCAAAGTAGTGTGTGACCACAACTTCTGTGGGCCTCCATTTCTTCCTCTTTGGTGGGGGAAGGGTCTTAATCTGGGTCCATAGACTTGTTTTTAATGTTTTCGTATCTGTATTCTAATAGACTTGCTTTTCTTTGTAACCCCTGCATTTTGTTTTATGCATGTACGAGGTCCCTAGGCTTTGCCAGACTGGCAGAGGGAGGGGTCCGTGACACAAGAAGGGTGAGAGCCCCTGCATAAGAGGTGATGTGGTTAGACTAGACTCTTGAGCCTCCTTCCAGCCTCAGAAGCAGGTCCCGGCTGGCTGTTGCTTGAACCTGTAGCCGACATGTGGGTTCGTGGAGCAGACGGAGATGGTTGAGTTGATCTGTCTTGTGTTTTCTTGTCCTTTGGGCAGGCCTGCTGTGGCTCTTTATTCCAGCCAAGCTTTTCCCTCTGCAATTTGAACACGAACCCAGAAGCTTTCTCTGAGGGATTCTTACCTTGAAAGAAAGCCTGAAGTGGGTGTGGAATGGTGTACCTATTGGCCTACAGGCGGGGGCTGCTGAGGATGTTCTCTTCCTTTGGGTGGATGTTTTGGGGGCACTGTGGTCCGCCTGGGCGGTGAGAGCTGGGTCCTGGCCCCAGGGAGAGGTGGCAGTGGGCGGGAGGAGGCAGGAGCTCATTTGTTGTTGAGGGAAGAACTTGGCACATGTTAAGACTGCCTGGGATGGGGGCCTTCGTGCTGCTTGAGTCCCTGGGGAATTTTATTTTTATTTGATTTTTAAAAGTAGTATTTGAGGGGACTGCTAGGTGGCGCGGTGGATAGAGCACTGGCCCTGGAATCAGGAGGACCTGAGTTCAAATCGGCCTCAGACACATAACACTCACTAGCTGTGTGACCCTGGGCAAGTCACTTAATCGGGGCACTTAACCCCATTGCCTCATATTAAAAAAAAAAAAAGTAGTATTTGATGCCTTTTGTTTTTATCTCATTATCATTTCTTAGCACTCTGCTCCCTTCTCTGTCCTATCAAACCTGCCCTGGAAACAGAAACAAGGAAGCTAAAGCCCTGGCATAGAGCCTGTGCTGGTCCCTCCCCATTAGAATGGGAGCCCCTTGAGGGCAGGGCCTGTCGTGGTTTTTTTATTGTATCTCCAGGCCTCGAAACATGCCTGGCCCATTGTAGGTGCCTAATAAATGCATGTTTATTGACTGACTGACTTTGCTACCCAGAGATTGTTCCTTACTCTAAATGGGCTGCCTTGTGGTATTGTTTTTATTTATATTATTATAATCATCCTGACTGCTGTTCTCCTGGCTCTGCTTAACTTTTCTCTTTAAAAGTCAATTTCATTAGTATCTTTTGTTTTCCAGTGTATTCCTCTTGCCTCCTCCTTCTCCCAGAGTGCAGTCTTTGTTGTACAAACAAAGAAGAAAAAGGAAGGTAAAACAATTCAGCAGAACCAACCAGCACGTTAAAAAAGTCTGACATTGTGTGAAACGTTCTGCACCTGTAGTCCCCACCTCTGAACAAAGGTGGTTCAGCAGAACCAACCAGCACGTTAAAAAAATCTGACATTGTGTGAAACGTTCTGCACCTGTAGTCCCCACCTCTGAACAAAGAGGTAGGGATGTGCCATCTCCTACCTCTTCCTCAGGGCCAAGATCATTCTTTATAATTGATCTACTTCAGTTTGGATCGTATGTTGTTGCTTTTCCCATTTGCAGTATTCACTAGTTCTGTTTGCTTTTCTCTGCATCAGTTCTAGACTGTCTTCTCATGCTTCTCTGACTCCCTTGTGTGGATCGTACAGCGTGTTCCATGAACTCTCTCCTGGTCTCCATCTCATGGAGTCCTTCTCTTCCTTCAGGATACAGCTCAAGCCTCACCTTCTGCATGAAACCTTTCCTGATCCTCCCTACTGCTGAGACCCTCCCTCCCTCCCAGACTCTGAGGTGTTTGTTTTTATTTGCTCTCTTGTATTTATATACTTAGACATAGCTTCGCTGCCTCCCCCTTAAGAGCGGAAGCGTTTGAGAGTGAGATTGTGTTATTCTTTGTGCTGGTGTCTCCAGCACCTCCTGGCACAGTGACTGGCACATAGTAGGTGCTTGGTAAATACTTGTTCATTGATTGGTTTTTATTCTTATTGCTACTATTTGACAGCAGGCCCTCCTTTACCAGCAGCGTGGGGCACTGCAGTGACTGCCTGCCTGTCTCCCTTCTTCTGTCCTCTGCCCCTTCTCAGCCATCCCTCACACAGCTGCCAGAGTCTGTTTCTTTCTTTGCAGATCTGATCGTGTCAGTCCTCATACTCTGAACCTTTCAGGGGCTCCCTTGGGCCCATGAAGTAAATTCCAAGCTCCTTAATATGGTCTTTCATGGTCTTCCTCTCATCCTAAATGCTCCCCCCCGCCCCATATTTTACGGGTCAGTCAAGCTGGACTAACTTCCATCCTTTCTCCCCCTTGTGTGCCTTTGCTGATGCCTTTGCCTGAAACTGGTACACTCTGGTCTCCACCTCTCAGCTTAGGTGGGTCCTCCTCCATCTGCCATCCCTCCTTCCAGGCAGAAATGACCTTTCCTTCCTTGGATCTCTCATGGATACTTTGAGCTTCTACCATGCACTTCTTAGGGTCTGT